ATGGTGACAAAAGAAGCAAGAAACCAAATCCGCCACAATGCCGTGAGCAATGGACGGGTGTCCCCAGGTACCCGTTAATCCCCAACATTGGACTATGTACTATAACAATGGGATGCCAGAGGCCTCCTAGATAGGGTCCGAATCGACTGGGTCAGAGGATTGCACCGAATCGCCGATGTATCGCCGATGCATCGCCGATGCATCGGCGAAGCATCGGCGAAGCATCGGCGAAGCATCGGCGAAGCATTGGCGAAGCATCGGCGAAGCATCGGGATTCACATCGAGCCGCATCGCCGATGCATCGGCGATGCGGCGCAGTCCTCCGACCCCATCTGCTCCTACATACCCCATCCAGGAGGCCCAGAACTCCTGCCTGGGGCTCCGGACATCCGATTCCAAGGATGCCTCGCAGGCCCCAGAAGGGATCTTCGGGCAGCTGCCCCCGAGCTTCGGGAGCCCCGCTGGCCACTTCCGGTGCCAACATGCTCGCAGACACAATTCAACAGGCCCCCGGGAGCCGCACGGGAGGAGGTGCGCACCGACAGGACCAATAATTACAGGTAAATTGTCGCAGTCGCAGTCTGTGCAGCAGTCGCAGTAGCCGTCAGAGTTGTGAGAAGCGCACCCGCCGTACTGTCGGGGCGTTGACCTAAGTGACCTAAGGAACCCTAGATTAGGAACGAGGCCCCCTTGCTCCAGAAGTTCAACTTCGACTTCCCATCGAACATCCAGGGAGAACCTGGGGCAAAATGTGAAACAAGGAAGGAACACGGAGCCCCTCCCCAACGAAAAGGGTTTCTTATTCAGAGCCCCGACTGTAGGACCCCCCTCGCGCCCCCCCCCTCTCGTGCGCTGCCGCAGCGAACAGCACACACACACACACTGCCGTGGGGGCCCCCGCGCGGCAGGCGCCCGCGGGAGGTCCGGCGGCAGGGGAGGCCCATCCTCCGAAGGCACGCCCGCGCACGGGAGTCTCCGGGGGCAGCTCATGGGAGCCTCCCATCACCATTCTGTCGGCTCTTGCGAGTCGACGCAAGTCGACGCTAAATCAACGATGGTCGACACTAGATCGACTCGGGGATGGACAGACCCCCCTTTAGTAAAACGTGGTTTATTGAAAACGACCTGAGGCCCAAACCTGGCGGGCGCGAGCCTGGGAAACAACGGCCACGGCGCCCTCTCGAGAACCGAAAACGGACAATTCACTAATCGACGTGTCACTATTGGGGGTTCTGTCCACCCCCGAATTACAATTCTGTCGGCTCCTGCGAGTCGACGCAAGAGTCGACGCTAGATCGACGCCAATCGACGCTAGCCGACGCCAGATCGGCAGTATCCAATCGACTCCAGACGCAGATCGACGCTCATTGACGCTAAAGACAGAATTACTAAGAGGGTATACCAGGCTCCCATGGCTTGCCACCGAAGGAGTCAGCATCGTTAGGCCAGTCCCCATCTAAGACGAAGCCCCCAGACCCCCTCGCGCCGCGAAAGAGTCACGACGGGAGGTTTCTGACAATGTTCGGCCTCCGGGGGCCCTCACTGGCCTCGGGACCGTCAAACACCAACTCTGGATGAAAAGCCGGTCCTAAAGAAAGGGTCCAAAACTCTAGGGGTCGACGTTGTGAAGAAATCACGACGCCTAGGGTTTCAGCCAGGACAAGGTCAAAAAATCGGGTGTGGGTAAAATCGAGAACCTCTGAGATCTGCAAGCTCTGGAAGACGCATCGGGCACCGCGGCCTTCTCGGAGCGTTCCAGACCGTTCCGAAAGCGCTCCGGAACGCTTGGGGACGGACTCATCCTAGTCCTAGCCCCGTCCGACCGCCCGTTCCAGGAAAGCCGTGGGCCTTCCGGAGACACAGGATCGGAAAGAATCGGATCGGGGAGGCCGACAAAATCAAAGCGCGCGTCGGACCAGGCCGCATCGGCGCGAGCCGGATCGACCGTGCCAGGACCCACAACAGAACCACGCAAACGTCGGGCGGCATCGGATTGCGAAAATCTCGAAATGGAATAAGACCGGGCTGGCCAGAATAGATGTCGAAGCAGATCGATGGGATCTGATTGGGCCACGGCTGTCCCTTTCGAGCTTCGCGGCGCCCATCCCCACCTCGCAGGGGGTAGGCTGGTGGCGCTGTGGGACGCTGGCCCGCCTGGGATGGGGACGAGTCTGACGATGCTGATATACCGCGCCACGTCCGTGCGCTGGACGGCCAGGTGAAACGAGGTTGTGTTGTGAGAGCGCCGTGCCAACTGCTACATGTTTCAGCGGCAGCTGCATTACAGCCCTCGATTCCGGTCCCAAACACCCTTCGAAACCGACTCACGAGGGAGGAAAGAGGGGGCTCATGTCCGTATATTCTGTGAGAGGAAGGGAAAGGTTGGGAAAGAAGGAAAGAACGCACTGAGAGGCAGGGGGCAGGGGCGGGAACGGATGGCGAAGGGGAAATGGAAGGAAAACGGGAGGGGAAGGAAGAGGGAAGGAGGGAGAAAGGGGCGGGAAGAGGAAGGAACAGAAGGGGGAGCAGGGAGAAACGGGAAGAGATGAGGCGGCGAGAAGGTGGAGATAAAAGGGGAAGGAGGGGAATAGCAGCAGCAGTGGGAGTAGAACTCGCGCGGCGTGGGATGGACCCCCTCTGCGTTGCCAGGGTGTTTTCTGGATGGCGAGTAGAGACACGCAGCCCTGATCATCATATTGATCGATTAGCTTCATGCGGGCGCGCCAAAATTAGTAAACACCTGGAACCGAATCATTGGATTAATGTTTTGGCCCAGCGAGTTTGCATGCAACCCTCTTCTGTTTCGGAATACCTGAAGCCGCTTGCGCGCTCTCAAACAAAAGTTTAAACCGAGCTGCTTGGGCTCGCGAAATACAGGGCTCGATTCGGGTATATCATGATTTCGGCCTGCGTATTGCGGGGGCGGACGGATTGCGAAAACCTATTGGATAATGGCCCGCTCGGCCTGATAATGACTTCGAACGCATCCGAACCGCGAAGCTCACTGGCGCCACTGGAAAGCTTTACGACAAACTGCGCTCGCCCATCGGTCGAAATGGTCGGACGGAAGCTTGCGTCGGCCCAGAACGGTCCCGCGCTGCCGGGCCGAGATTTACATTGCAGGGTAATTAACATCAGTGCTAGTCCTACAGCAACAAGGTTTGAAGCATTGGCTGTGTTCGACATCGTGGCGCCACGGGAACGGGGACGTGCGCACGTAAAAGAGCAAGATCCTTTGGCGACGCACGCGCTCATCACCATTACCTTTCCTTCACCCACCCACCCGCTCCCCCTGGAAGGGGTAGGAAGGGAGGGGGAAGGGGGGGAATCTAGAACAGAAAAGAAAAGACAGGGGCAAAGGGCGATCATATTGTTGCGCGTTGCACCCGCCCGTCGTAAATCAGGTAGTTCAAGGAGCACTGGGAGCCCTGAAGACGACAGCATCCAATGGTAAAATAGAAGCCCGCGACCCTGTCGCACGAATACCATGTATGCCATGCTGTCAAATGGTTTGCGGTTTCACAGCTGGCGAACGTGCGCCCGATGCCCACATCGCATCGCAGCGTTGGTGTTTCACCACATGGTGCCTGAATCCTCCCCTTTCCACATGTACACCCGTCAAAGGTGGCCCCATGTTGATTGCATGGCGATGTGCATAAGACATATGCGCCAACATCGCCAAACAAACAAGCGGCTCCCACTTCTGACGGCTGTACACGACCACATGCTTCATGGCCCGACACTTCAACACCTTGAATATGTTCAACACGACATCGATCGACCCATGATAGTGAGCCGCGAACGCCATCATCTCAGCCATGGCTTTGACCGCATGTTCGCCGGCCTCCAACGCGCAGTGGCGAGCCAGCGCCCGCAGCAACGCGACCAAGTCACCTGAATCGGGCCTAAACCATAAGTGGAAGTGAAGCTAATGGCCCTGTTTCAAGACTTGTGCGCCAAATTCGTCTGCGAATTCTATGGCGGCACCCCCCAGCCTCAGGACAACAGCAGCGCCTTGAGCTTGCTCGGGCACGTCCGTCGCGATGGACCACAACGTGACGTCTCTCAACCACCGTCTGAAGGGATATTGAACACTCCAGTCTGGCGACCACGCCGGAGGTACCTTCAAGACACCAGCACCAGCCATCTCGAGAACAGATGTGCCATGCCGAAGAAGAAGAAAGAAAAAGAAGACGAAGAACACTGATCACCGACGAGGAGGGGGAAGCCATAGCACGTGACGTGGCCGCCGACAGCGGCCCACCAGCAGCAGCAGCATAAGTGCGCAATGGGAGCACCGGCCGACAAACCGATGCCCCGCGACCCAAGTTAGCTTGCGCATGTCCTCCTACAGGCGGATCTTGGAGGGGTGATGGAAAGTCGTCAAAACATAAACCAAAACATGCCCCCTGACTATCTGTCCGACTAGTTCTGAAAATTCTTCCTGTACACGGACGTGCCCGACCCAATGCCAAAGTCGAAGACGCGGTCGGGCGCCCGCCTTCCAGAGACCGATGGTTCGCATTTTTTTTCACCAGCACGGGGCGCCCGGCCGATGCTCCGACATCAAATTCCCCGCCCAGGACACAAGAGACCGGCCGGCCGGCCGCCTGTGGGCCAGAACGGCCGGCGGCGAGAGCAGCGGGGCGATGGGGAGAGCAGATCAGGAGAGGGCGCGCGAGGGTGCTGCAAGACGTGTTCTTCGGCTCGTTTCCCTGCCTTCTGGCCCACTCCCTCTGCCCCTTCTCGCGGAAGGGAGGGAGAGAGAGAGAGAGAAGGGAAGAGAGAGAGAGAGAGATAGACAACGACGACAACAAAAGCACAATTAACCCGAGACGTACCTGATCCCTTCTCCACGTGATGCAAATAGTTGTATGACCGACCCATACCCAAACCAAAAAACGATCGCCCGATATGCACGATCAGGGCTGCCCTCATCTCCGCAGTGCCTCCCACGAGCCAACGAAAACTGTTTTCCACCCCCCAAGGCAAATCCGTTTCCCCTCATGGTGGGCTATACCCGTCCGCAACAAAGAACGATCGTGCTCGATTGACCGGCCGGGTTAATGTCACCGCATTCTCGGCGATCGGCACGCAACTGAATGTGAAACGATCTTAGGAGGACAGCCTAGGGTTGACAAACCGCTCATGCCATGTATATACCGCCGGAGCAAAACTGGGATCGGTCCCACTTCTGGGACTGATGAAGGCAAAAACGCACCCACCACTTTCTGCTACTGTTGCTAAAGTCAACAGAGGACAAGCAGAGAAGAAGAAAGGAGGAGGAGAAGCGGCGAGGAGGAGGAGGAGGGGGAGTGCACAAAAAAACCCGCTGGAGTATGGCTGCAAGGAGTTATGCATCGCATAACACCCGTTGAAGTGATAATACCTTCAACTCTGGTGGCGAAATATGTAGTAGCCGCGCTGGCATGACATCCGCCGCCGATCCTGTACGCATGGTCGAAGTAGCTGCCATGCCCGAGAGCGTTCAGCGCCGCGGCGACTCCATAACCGTCGCGCGCCCATGCCCTGCGCGGAATCCGTCGCAGCGTGTCGCAGGTAGTTGGTAGCGCGGTAGACTGCGTACACAGCCAGTGCTGTTCTGACCATGTCTTCGTCGCAGTGGCGAACGAAAGCGGCGACAACTGCGCAGTCTGCAGCAACCCAGGGAGCAGCGAGGTCTCGTCTGGGTGTACTCCGCTGGACCTCCCAAGAGCCCACGAAAGTGGCGACAATTGCGCAGTTCGCAGCCTCCCGGAGAGCAGCGAGGTCCCACATGGGTCCGCCTGGCTCCCGACTCCACTGGACCTCTCAATGAGCCCATGAAGGTGGCGACAATTGCGCAGCTCGCAGCCTTCCAGAGAGCAGCGAGGTGTCGTTTGCGTGCGCGTGGCCCCCGACTCCGCTGGACCTCTCAGGAGCCCACTAAGGTGGCGAGAATTGCGCAGTACGCAGCCACCCAGGAAGCAGCGAAGTGTCGTTTGGGTGCGCGTGGCCCCCGACTCCGCTGGACCTCTCAGAAGCCCGCGAAAGTACGAGAATTGCACAATTCGCAACACCCAGAGAGCTGCAAGGTCCCGGGTACTCCGCCACGCCGCCGTGCCTCCCAGGAGACCACGGGAAATGGCAACAATTGCGCAGTTCGCAGCGACCCAGGGAGCTACGAGGTCATGGGTATCCGCCACCTCCGCCGTGCCTCCCCAGAGCAAACAAAAGTGCCGACAGCTGCGCACGTCGCAGACAGCCAGGGAGCTGCGAGGTTCCCGGGTACTCCGCTACGCCGCCGTGCCTCCCAGGAGCCCACGAAAGTGGCGACAGTTGCGCAGCTCGCAGCCACCCAGGGAGCTGCGAGGTCTCGGGCACTCTCCACACTCCGCCGTGCCTCCCAAGAGCCCACGAAAGTGGCGACAGCTGCGCAGGTCGCAAACACCCAGGGAGCTGCGAGGCTCTCGGGTACTCCCCTACTCCGCCGTGCCTCCCAGGAGCCCGCGAAAGTGGCGACAGTTGCGCAGCTCGCAGCCACCCAGGGAGCTGCGAGGTCTCGGGTACTCGCCATACTCCGCCGTGCCTCCCAGGAGCCCACGAAAGTGGCGACAGTTGCGCAGTTCGCAGCCACCCAGGGAACTGCGAAGTCTCGGCTGGATGCGCGTACTCACCTACTCTGCCGTGCCTCCACGAGCCCACCAAAGTGGCGACAGTTGCAAAGATCGCGGCCACCCAGGGTGCAGCGCCGGAGGAGGCAGGAGGAGGGGGAGGAGAAAAAAGGAGGTGAGTTCAACAATGTCGTACTCAAAACGAGAACCCAACACAGGAGGGCTGGGAAACGAGGGAGAGAAGGAGGGTGAGCAAGAGGGAGGATGAAGGATCCGCCGGCCCCCTTGTGGGGCCACCAGGCTGTAGGACCAAGGTTTGCTGTTCCCTGCACCAGTTCCAGATTCTAGTTTCCACTGTTACAGTTCCGCTTCTTGCTGCTTTCTGTTCCTTGTTGATGGACCGCGCGAGGGGGGGGGAGCCGAGAAGGAACCTAGTTACCACGCCCGACGCCCGATTCGCGTGGACTGAATTCCGAGGGGGGCGTGGGACAAGTAAAAATGCATGAAAGTCGCGCCCCCGAGGCCATAAATCCTCGTAAATGACACAAGATTCGCGTCCCCGAGGCCATAGACCCTCATGAATTACGCAGGATCCGCGTCCCCGAAGCTACAAACCCTTGCAAAATACACCAGATTCGCCCCCCCGAAGCCATAAACACAATACTTGCGCCCCCGAGGCCGCAAACGCTTGCAAATCACGCGATACTCGCGTCCCCGAAGCCATGAACCATCGTAAAGTACACGATGTTCGCGTCTCCGAAGCCGTACACCTGCGTAAATGACGCAAATACTTGCGACCTCGAAGCCATAAATCTTTGTAAATTACAAAATAATCGCGTGCCCGAAGCCATACACCCTTGACAATCACACAGTCTTCGCGTCTCTGAAGCCATAAACCTGCGTAAATTACGCTATAGCTGTGAGCCCGAAGCCATAAACCATTGAAATTACGCGCTATTCGTGTATCCAAAGCCATAAACCCTCGAACTACAACACCCGACTCAACAATATCATCAGAATCTCCATTTGTCTTGCCGATTACTCATCGTCTTCGCGTGAAGTCCCGACGCTGCTTCACGGCGGCGCCAACGCCTCATGCTTTGGCTCTTGCATTGCCCATTATCCGAGAGATGGGGCCGGCGGCAGGGGGCGAAGCCCTTACGGATAAGAAGAAACTGAACCTGCATCTGGCTGAATGCGTTGCACTAACTTTCAGAAGGGGGTTAGTGTCTTCAGACCCGCAGTAGGCTGCAGAATGTTCTATGTGGGAGGGAGGGAAGGATGAGGAAAAGGACGAGAGGCATGAGATGGAGTGGAAGAAAGAAGCAGAAGGATCAGAAACAGCAATGGGGGAGGAAGGGGAAGGGAAAGGAACAAGAGGAGGAAGGAAAGAGGAGGAGGAGGAGGAGAAAGAGGAAGGGAGAGGAGGATAGGACAAGGGAGGAGGAGGAGGAGCAGAAGGAGAAGAGGGATGAGGGGAGAGAAGGAGAAGAGGAGAGATGAGGGTGATGAGGGAAGAAAAGGAGAGAGGACGAGAAAGAATGAGAAGAGGAGGAAAACAAGAGCAGGAACAAGAGGAGAAAAGGAGAAGACGGTGGGTAACTTCCTGGGTCCCGCGACGGCCTGCCACCCTTGCGCGCGGGCCAAGCGGAAGCCGCTACAGTGGCGCGGCCGCTACAACTACGACAACTAAGAGTGTCGGGCCTTCCTCCTCCTCCTCCTCCTCCGCCTCCTCCTCGTCCTCCTCCTCGTCCTCCTCCTCCTCAGATTCGTCGCCCCCCTCCTTGCTGATACCACCTCTCTGTGTCGCACCACCAGACGTGTCGTTCGGGCGGGCTGCGCGTTTCGCCCGAGACGTCCCCACCGTTTGCGATGAACCCTGGAATGTCCAACGGGTGGTCCGAATGTCAGGCGCATCGTTTTTCAACATGGGTCTCTCGCCAGCCACACGGAGGAGTGGCCGCGTGTTGTCCAGGTGGCTCTCTCGCATTGGCGGCGTGCACGCTCGTGTGAGAAAACAGGAAGTACACTGATGCAGGGCGACGATCTAGTTTTCGGCATGGGAAACTCTCCTGGGCAGCGCGGACACTCGACTTAAAGCACCCAACATTTTCACAAATGGGGGGCGAATCGAACACACAGTGGAGATTTCCGCCTTTGGCGCCGCGCGCATTCGTGAATCAAAGCCGGGAAGAGGCCCAGCAGGGCGCGGCGACGCAACGGCGACAGAGCAACCGCCCGAACCGAACCAAACGCAACCCGTCCCTCCCCCCAGACAGAGGTTCGGAGGGCCCATTAGGGGTGCGTCCGAATAGACCCCTGGGGGTGCACGGCATCTTCGGGGCCAGTAGCGCAGGCAAGACTGAGCCGAACCGAACCGGATCACATCGGAAACGGATAGCACCGACAGCGGATCGCTTCGAACAGACTGGGAATCGGATCGCCGAGCCCAGCTCCAGTTGACCCTGACCGACGCCAGCGAACCGAGCCAGATCGAATCGAAGCGAAGCCGCGGCCCCAGCAGGCGAATGGAATCGCATCGAGTCGGATCGCAGGAGGAGGAGGAGGAGGAGGAGGAGGAGGAGGAGGAGGAGGAGGAGGAGGAGGAGGAGGAGGAGGAGGAGGAGGGGATGAGGAGGGGAGGAGGAGGAGGAGGGAGGTCTCGCGATGTCGGCCGCTGCCAGGCTGCCGGCGGCGCTCCGCCTCTCGGGTCTCGCGCGGGGGCCGCCGCGCCGTCGGCACGGCACACGGGCCTGCCGAAGTCCCGAGTTCCCCTCCTTCTCGAAACGGCCAGCTTGGAAGTTGCTTCCTCGTTCCCTCCCCTCCTTTTCCCCCTCCTCCTCCTCCTCCTCCTCCTCCTCCTCCTCCTCCTCCTCCTCCGCCTCCTCCCCCTCCTCCCCCTCCTTGTCGAAACGGCCTCCTCCTCCTCCTTCTCCCCTCCTTTTTCGAAACGGAAGTGAGACATCGCCTGCGAATGAATTACAGTCGGACCTGGGCCAGAAGCACGTCCCTCGAGAACATGGGGCCCTCCGCCGGCCAAGACACACAAAACATCCAAGGGCACCCCCCCGAGTGCACAAGAACACCCAACAAGCACGAAGAACACTGGGGCACCCTCCCCGAACCGACCTCGATCTTATACCTCGGTCCGACTGTAATGAAGGCCTCCCAAATGGAGTCCCAGTAGATGGGGTCTGATGATTTGAGCAGGAACCGACCGTGCCGGCATTCCTATAGGCCTACCACGACATTTCTTAGAACCCCAACATCTCTAAGAGCAAAAACAATGTTCTTAGAACATAGGTTGGATATGCTTAAACAAGACAGGTTCGGCCAGAAATGTTCTAAGAACATGTCGTGCAAACACAAAAGGTTATTAGAACATTATTTGGTGGTCCTGTAGGCGAGCCTGGACGCTTCGCCACTGCTTGAATGATCGCGACCGACGACTCATCCGCGTCATCGGCGATGCTTCGGCGACGTCGGCGTGGAGCCGATGCATCGGCGATGCGGCACGATCCTCCGACCCTTTCTGTTCCAGTACCATTTGGCACGCAGAAGACATCTACACCACCACCGTGCCTGGCCCAGGCCATCCTGGGCCCTTGCATGGTGTGTACGCCTCCTGGCCGAGGCCGGGAGTGTCTATACACCATCTTGGGGCCCAGGATATCCCTCGCAAGCCGCGGTGGTGGTGTACAACGGCCGTCTGCCCAAACCCCCGACGTCGTGTTTTTTTCACAGCGTCGGCCCCCAAAGGTCTGGACTCCTTCCCTGGGACCGGCATTTCACCCTGGATCGTTTCTTAACGGCCCCCAGGCCCGGTCAAGGCCCCCCGGGGGCCGAGAACAGCGAAGAAACCTCCCAGCCGCAACTTTTTCACACCGCGAGGGGGCCTGGGTGCGGAGAGAGGCCCGCGAAAAGAAGGATATGCCCTCAGGCGCGAGGCGACCCCCCTCATGGCTACCTACCAGACCACCCCAACCCAACCCGAAGACCCGAATTTGAATCGAATTTCGGGTTGGGGGGGGGTACGGGTTCCATGTGTTTTTTCTATGTTCCCCGACCCCCCCCCACTGGAAATCGAGGGCAAATCGAGGCCTTCGGGTTGTGTCGGGGTGGTTTGGTAGGTGGTGAGTTCTGATTTTTTTACACCGCGAGGGGGCCTGGGTGCGGAGAGAGGCCCGCGAAAAAAGGGTGTGGCCCTCAGGCGCGGGGCGACCCCCCTCAGCTGGCGCACTCAGGGCAGCTGCAGCTGGCGCAGTGCTTCGCTGGCGGGGGCGGCCGGGAGCCGGGCGCTGCCCACCGGCCCTGCGGGAAGGCTCGCGGCGGTCTCCCCCCCAGGGGGAGGTCGGAGTCGTCGTCTACGGATGCCTACGACTGAGACTACGACGACGACGACGACGACGACGAAGACTACTATTACTACTACTACTACTACTACTACTACTACTACTACTACTACTACTACTACTACTACTACTACTACTACTACTACTACTACTACTACTACTACTACTACTACTACTACTACTACTACTACTACTACTACTACTACTACTACTACTACTACTACTACTACTACTACTACTACTACTACTACTACTACATTACTACTACATACTACTACTACTACTACTACTACTACTACTACTACTACTACTACTACTACTACTACTACTACTACTACTACTACTACTACTACTACTACTACTACTACTATTACTACTACTACTACTACTACTACTACTACTACTACTACTACTACTACTGCTACTACTGCTACGGCTACTAC